TCAGCTGGCTGAGTGTTAATCTCATTTTGAAATCACCTTTTATCACAAAATACGGTGATTTGTCTGCTCAAAGGCACGTTCTCTGCTTAGGTGGCAGAGCTGGATGATTTCTTTTTTTATTTTTTGAATATATTCAGGTGTGCTCTTTGGTTTTCCTTCAAATTCAGGATGATTCCTCTGGTGATGTAATTCACCTGCAGACAAGTGTCTAAATAAGAGAGGACATGACAGAGATCCTTAAAAATTCTTAATTCCCTCATCATGACCCTCTCATTTCAGTTGTAACCTCCAGATAAATCCACAACTTCATTTTTCCACAGGACATTCCATCTTTCTGCTCCTTTTTGCCATTTGTTTTGCTTGCTGAATATTTTTAGCTAGAGAACTAATTTTCCCGAGCTTGTAACTAATATTAATTTTAAAGAAACTAAATGAAAGGTTGTTTTTTTGTGGGTTTTTTTTTTTTTTTTTGAGGGAAATGTTTGCCAGGAAAAAGCCACTCAACCCTGTGAACAGACAGACCATCTGTAGGCCATGATGTTCAGCTGGGATTTGGGGAGGTCTGGTGTGAAGTCAAATCTAACAAATTTTTATTTGATTGCTGCAGGGGAAATCCAGTCCTGCAGTGGTGGGTGGCCCTGCATGAGGATGAGGAAATGGGAGTTTGACCCTGGAACAGGCAAATCCACAGTGGCCACTTGTTCCTGACTGCTGGACAGGTCCTGGCACTCCAGATTTGAAAGGTTTTGAGGGGATTTTGTCCTGATGTAGAACACCCAAAGTGCTTTAAATTGCTTTTTATTCTGACTGAGGAAACAATTTCAGTTTCAGTTTCCTCAGTGAGTTCAGCCCTGGAAGCAGAGCCTTGATCCCTACAGGGAGTTTGGGGTGTTCCTGTCACAGGGAACTGGGGTGTTCCTGTCACAGGGAGTTTGGGGGCTCTGTCCTCCTTGGAGCTCCTGGCACGTTTCAAACCCTGGATGGGGAGCCTGAAAAATTTCCTTGGCTCCTTCCAAGCTGATAATTGGAAACAAGCTTCCATAGCATCATCTCAATATTCCCAACATTTACTGGTGTTAAAATTCTCTTCATCATCCTGGGTCTGAGATAATTTATCTTCAGGTCCTCAGGACTCACTTCTCATTTCTGTGGCTTTTGAACTTAGAGATCTGACTCGTTTCCAGATTTTTCTCTTTTCCCTTGACTTTTCCACTGGCTTTTTTTGGCACCAGGTCCAGTTGGCATCCTGAAGTGATGAGGAGATAAAAGCAGCAAGGCCAAAAGTCTTGGGAGGGATTTGGGTGATTGTTTTTAAACATTCTAGAGTGTGGGACATGTTACAGGCTGGGTTTGTAGCTGTGAGCTTGGCTCTGTGTCCTGCTGTGGGGACAAGGGCTCCTTCCAGGGTGAGCCCCTGGAATCAGGAATGTTGAAAGTCTTTATCCATTCATTGCTTGGCTTTTTGGTAAATTTGACTGATGAAAAGTGTGCTGAGAGAGAATGTGGGTGCAGAGAGATTGGCCTGGACAGGGTGGACTAAAATGTCCAAAACATGTTCTTCCTAAATGGTCTTCCCAAAAATGCTGGGTGTGTGGTTGAGTTCCTGGGGGCTTTCTGCGGGGATACACATCAGTATCCAGTGAAAGGGGTGGCTGGGAATTCTGGACACAAATGTAGCAATCCCAGGAGAAACCTGTAGTTCTTCCTAAATGGTCTTCCCAAAAAATGCTGGGTGTGTGGTTGGGTTCCTGGGGGCTTTCTGCAGGGATACACATCAGTATCCAGTGAAAGGGGTGGCTGGGAATTCTGGACACAAATGTAGCAATCCCAGGAGAAACCTGTGGAGATCACCTTCATTGTGGGAATCCTGCTGCAAGTTCTTGGTGCTCCTTTCCTGGGGTTTCCTGAAGCTGTGCTCACTTTCTGAAGACCTGGAACATTTCTCATTCCTGGGACTTCCTTGGAATTGCTGTGGGATCCATCACCAGAACCTGGATGGAGGAGAGGACATCCCATGTGCCCTCAGCACAGCTGGCTTCCTTCAGGAGTGTGGGTCTGCAGACAGGGCCTGGATGTGAGCCTGCTGATTAATTCCTGGCGTGTTTGGGACAGAATTCATCTGGGATTGGGCTGTAAGATTTTCGCCTTACGGAAAAAATCCAGCGTGAGCTGAGAGAACAGTTGGGTCAGAGCCTGGATTCCCTCCCAGATGCATCACCAGGAATGATGGTGCAGCTTTCTCTGGGAATGTTGTCTGGACACTTCTCCAAAGGTGCTGATGGGACAGTTCATGGCATGGAGAAGCCTGGAGCTCTGCCTCGGATTCCTGGATTTCCCAGAGTCCCAGCTTCTGCAGTAACTGTTCCCTTTCCTGAAGACTTTCTGGAGATGGAGAAAGCTTGCAGGGTGGAAATGTTCTCTGTACCAGCTCCATGCAGTTCTCCCAGGAGTGCTCTCAGCTCTTTTGTTGGTGGGATTCCAAGATTTCACTTTCCTGGGCATCTTTTCCTTGGTGGAGAAGGGTGAGGGCGGATGGTTCACCCCAGCTGTGTTAGTAACTGGAATTCAGCTCATTTCAAGGAAGGAGGCCTTTCCCAGCTCCATTTCTGCTATTTCCAGACATTCCCCCTGTGCTGATGCAAGGGCTTTGTTGCTGAAATCCATTTTATTTTCATTCTGTCCTCAGTTACAGACTCAGGGAATGGTTTGGGTGGGAAGGGACCTTAAAGATTCCAACTCAAACCACGGGCAGGGACACCTCCCACTGCCCCAGGCTGCTCCAGCCCCAGTGTCCAGCCTGGCCTTGGACATTCCAGGGATCCAGGGGCAGCCCCAGCTGCTCTGGGAATTTGTACCAGGGTCTCACCGCCCTCACAGGGAAGAATTTCTGGAATTGTGTCGATAAACAACGTGGTTGTTCCCAAACCTTTCATCCCAATGTTTCTCCCTTTCATTGATCTAATTCACTCACTGATTTTGTGGTAGGAATTTTAGGTCTTTGCCACAATAAGGACAATATTCAGATATGGCCCTGTGTGTCTCATGGATATTTTTTTGAATTTGGCAACACCAGGATTGAGTCTGAGTGTGGAAAACTCAGCTTTAATTTCCATTTGGCATTAATTCAGGGAGCTGAGGAGCATTCGGGCTGGAGCTGCTCAGGATCAGCCTGGGGGAGCTGGTTTTTATTAAGCAGGACTTGATTTAGTCCAAAGTAAAACCATTTGTGTTTAATCTGATCCATGAAGCTGCTGGGAGTGTGAAAATCCAGAAATTTAAACTTTTTCTGGGCCATCATTGCACCACGTAGGACTTTGGGAACCTGGAACAGTCACCCAGGGATACATTTCCTAAGGAATTAGTACCACAACAGGAAGTTTTAAAGTTTGAGTGCCATGAAAAGACCTGGTGACAAATGTCCCTCAGCCTTCCTTGGGAGGCTCCTCACCACAAACCTGGAGCGATGCCGCTTTTCCCAGAGATTCCCCTTGGATTTCAGCAGGAAAATCACCTGCACTGAGGGCATTTCTGTTCCCATCTGCCCTTTGGGAGCTGCTCCTGGGTGACTGCTGGGTCACTGAGCTCCTTGCTGTGGAGTTTTTAGGGCAGAGCAGCTCCTGCTGAAGCAGGAAAATTCCAGAGCCAAAACAAATGGCTGTAAACTTTTCCCTCTCCCCGTGAAAACGAGGAGAAGGAGGTTGTTGTGTCCAAACCCTTTTGGAGCTGACACTGTGGGAAAAGTCTGTCCAAGCTGGGTGTTATTGTACTTGAGGAATTGCAGTAAATCCTGAGGGACCCCACAGGTGGCACTGGGATCTCCTCACAAGAGCTGCCAGTGTGGAGTTGGCACTTTGGGATGGGAGCCTCACACAGCCCTTGGTGCCATCCAGCAGATTTCATAGGTTGTCAGTTAAAATCAGGGCTCTGAGGTGGGAATTCTTTGTTCCTGGTGGGTTTTGGGAATTCCTGGTGGGTTGGGAACATTTCAGTGTGTGCCCAGGGGTCAACAAGACCTGTGGAATTCCTGCAATCCTGGGCAAGCTTGGTGCCACGAAAGCAGGAAACTTTTTCCATCCAAGGGGGAAAAAAGGGGAATCTGCCTTTAGTTCCCTGTGGAAGGAACATTCCTGCCAAGCCCCTGCTGTGATGTGAAGCATCTTTATATGAAATATTCCATGTCCCTTCCCACAATTGGGAGCAGTCTCGGTGCTGCAGAGCCAAAGTTCACGTGGGAACAAACCTTTGATTTTCTCCTGCTGCCTTTGTAATTCTTATCCAGACCACTGATGAAAGGTAATTGCTGTAGGATATTATTCCCAATCCATTAACCCTGATTTACAGCAGAATTCCTTATCAAGCTTCAGTGCTAAAACACCACCACTAATTGTCTTAACTGAGCCTGGCTTGGAATAAAGATTTCCTGCCTTTCCCTTTGTATTCCCTTCTTTCCCACTTGCCTTTCCCTTTGTGTCCCCTTCTTCCCAAAGCACTTTGATTCTTCCTGTTGTTCTTTTCACGCCATTTCTCCCCAGACTCAGGAGGTTTTTTTAATTTGGTCTTGCAAGTCAAATTAACATGAGATTGCCAGAATTTGCAGGGGAGCTGTGGGAGGGGAAATGGAATTCATTGGAGCAGTGGATTTATTTCAAACACGTCCCAGTGCTCTCCCAAATCTGAGCTTTTACTCTGTGCAGGAGGGGATGGAAAATGGAAAACTCTGAGGATTCATCCCAAGGTTCCTCAGGGCAGGGGAGGATGGAAAATGGAAAACTCTGAGGATTCATCCCAAGGTTCCTCAGGGCAGGGGAGGGTGGGGAATTGGCTTCACCAACATCACTGTGGTGCTGTGGTCACTTAGATGTGTCAGGACACTGAAATTCCGTGTGGGGCTTGGGATATTTTGGATATTTGGGTCAGCAGGCTTTGAGTGAATTCTTTGGGTGTGAGTAGATGGGTTTTGTTTCCTGGACTGGATGTTTTTCCTTGACTTGCTGCATCAGGATTGAGAGCAAACACGAAGTCACAATCCTAGGAGGACTCAACGAATTTGTTGTGAAGTTTTATGGACCACAAGGAAGTAAGTTTGTGACCCTGCCCTTCCAGAAAAACAATCCACTGGCTTGGGGAATAAGGAAATGACATTCCAGAGGGGAAGAGATGAGCAAATCCAAGGGGGAGGGAGAGAAATCCATCTTCTGAGGGTGGGGAGGATCCAGCTGGGAGCATGGTCATGGATAGACCCCCATTCCTTGGAGCTCTGGAAAACTCCTTCAGCACCCCAGAGCTTTCCTAGCCCTGGCCAAACTTGCATCACTCGTGGGAATTTCCATGGAGTTTGTCATTAAAATGGCTTTTCCACCTTAATTTAGCACCATCTCCAAAGGTAAGGAGATTATCCCACAGTGCCTGTTTTTAATCAGGCTCTGCTGTCTTCGTGCTGAGATCTTCTCCAGGATCAGTTCAAATCGTGTGAGGCAGAGCAGGGAAAAGGCTTTGAAATCTCCCCCCAGTGGAGCTGTGGATTATTCCAGAGATGTGTTTTCCTCAGTGCTCTGCTTCTGTTTATCCTCTCCTCAGCTGTGGAGTGTCTAATTCCTGCTTTTCCTCCCTTGCAGCACCGTATGAAGGTGGAGTATGGAAAGTTAGAGTCGACCTTCCTGACAAATACCCCTTCAAATCCCCATCTATAGGTAACAAACACTCATTTGCCATCAAAATCCTGGGATTTGGGCCTGAACTTTGCAGGTGGAGTGCTACTACCAGTGTAATATAAGGACTTGAAGTCTGCAAAATGTTTCTACGGGATTTTAGATCCTGAGAAGAGAGGAATTTTGGGCTTTGGAAGGGGGAGGAGCTGGGAGTGGGATTTGGCTGCATAGTTGTGTGTTGATCAATTCAATCTCTATTCCATGGGGATTTTTTTTAATAATAACTCCACTTATTGTGGAGTGGTGGAGCAAAGACCACAGAAATCAGTTCTTGGTCTTGGGGTGAACCCAACTTTTGGGGTCTTCTATCCAAAAGTGGATGGAAGTTCTTCCACTGAAGCCTCCATCCTCTTGGAGCAGGGAATACATATGTGGAAGAACAGAAAAGCAGGGATTTACCACCAAAAAACCTGCTGGCTTGACTGGTCAGGCTTGTCTCACCTTGGAGAGCAAGAGGAAATTCCATTAGGGAATGGTTTTTAGCTTGGGTCCATCCCTGGGGAGCAGGAAACCACCTTGGATGTCTTCAGGTGCCCATTCCAGTGGCTGCAGCCCCTTCCAACACCAACATTCTCCTTTGGAGCTGGCAAGTCTTGGCTGCTTCCTTCAAATACCCCCTTGGGCTCAGGTTTGATTTGGGAGCTCTGTGGGATGAGGAATCACCTGTTCCAAGTGGGAATTGTGCCTTTTGGGAGAAGGTGCTGCTGTTCATACACTGTCCTTCAACCTTTATTAATTTATTTTTTTAAATTTGAAACCTTCTGTGAACCCTAGCAATGTGCAAATATTTCTGAGTGAGAGCACAGGAACCTGCAGCTCTGAGGAGCCTTCCCTTCCCCCTGAGCCAGCTCTGGGAATGCCTCTTGGAGAGGCACATTCCAAGTGGGAATCCTTTTTTTAATTTATTTTTTTAAATATGAAACCTGTGAACCCCAGCAATGTGCAAATATTCCTGAGTGAGAGCACAGGAACCTGCAGCTCTGAGGAGCCTTCCCTTCCCCCTGAGCCAGCTCTGGGAATGCCTCTTGGAGAGGCACATTCCAAGTGGGAATTCCCACTGTTTGCTGCCTGTCCTTTGTCCTTCCTCACTTCCCAAACCAGTGCAGCTCAGGGCAGTCTTAAATCATGGAATGCTTTGGCTTGGAAAGGATCTCAAACCTCATCCAATTCCAACAGTTCCCACTGTCCCAGGCTGCTCCAGCCCCATCCAGCCTGGCCCTGGACACTTCCAGGGATGCAGGGCAGGGCCATGTGCAGGGAGCTGTTTCTGCTCACATCTCTGAGTCCTTCTGGCCTTTCTCAAGTTGATTTTGCTGCTTTTCTCTCATTTTCCATCTCTCTCTTGTTTAAATCTGTTGTTTCCAGTGGTTTATCCCAGACCCCATGAAGAGCTTCCCTCCCCTACGAGTCTCTGATCAAGTGGCTGAAAAACCCTTCTTTTCTTCCAAAAAAACTGCCTCTTGCTGGAAAGTCTATTTTTTTCCTTCCCAAAATCTCCCTCTTGCTGAAAAAAACATTTTTTCTTCCCAAGATCTTGCTGAAACCTCATTTTTTTTCTTCCCAGAAAACTGCTTCTTGGCGGAAAATCCTTTTTTTTCCTTCCCAAAATCTTCCTCTTGCTGGAAATTCCCTTTTATCCTAACCAAAAAAATGCCTCTTCCTGAAAACCCCTTTTTTCTCCCCAGGCTCTTGCTGAAAACCCCCATTTTTCTCCCTAAAAATCTGCCTCTTGCTGGAAACAAGAGTTGAGATGGATAAAATCCTTGCTAGAGCTGAGCTGGCTTAGCAGAGCAGAGCTCAGGAAAAGCTGGGAAGCTCCAAGGAACGTGCTGGGACTCAGGAAAGCTCCCAGGAGGCTGCAGGGAAGGGTTTGTTTTCCTTTATTTCCCATTTTTGCTGCCCCAGCCCAGCTTATCTGGGAGAGCCAGGCCTGGGTGAAGCCTCCTGAGGGATCCTGATTATCTCTACTTTGGGCACTGCTGATAAAACCTTCATTCCAGCTGAACTGGGAGCACTGGGAGTAATGGAAATGAGAATTTTCCCATTCCTAACCCTGCCTGAGCTTGGGATAATAATTATAATAATTAGCAGGGAAGAAGTTTGCTGTGGAAATCTCTGATTTTTAGAGGTGGGAGTGAAAGATTTCAGGGATTATGGAGCCCATAGATGGACAGGAGGTCCTGGACTTGTTCCTGTTCTCAGCAGAGTTCAAATTGTCCATGTGAGTCTCTCCTTGGAGAAAATATGGAATCCAGCAGCTTTTCCTTGAATAAATTCCACCTTTATCCCCAAGTTTAAACACAAACCCCATCCTTGCACCTTCCCTTGATATTCCAGAACTGGAGGCTGAAATATTCCTTCTAGCCTAAAAAATCTTTGAGCCTGGCATGACTTTTTTTGTATGAAATAGGAGTTTTTTTAGCATTTTTGGCTTTTCTTTTTGGTTTTATCCTTGAATTTTTTTTTGGAGTGTATCCATGTGCTCCAGAAAAATGATGGTTAAGAATTCCCTTGGAATCTTTTAGAATCTTTTATCCAAGGATGAGATCCAGGGAATCTTGGTGTTCTGTCCCAAAGTACCAACCTGACCAGGAGAGGGTTTTCCAGAGCAGTCCTTGGGAAAGGTGTGGAGGTTTTGGGAATCCCAAAAGGAGCAGGGAACTCTTTGTCTCCAGGAGAAGCTTTTTTGGATCTTTTCCTGCCAAATCTTCTCTCCCCTCTCCCATCCTGAGATATCCATGGCATTTATTCCCTGTTCTTCACATGGATCATTATTGCTGTTCCCTAAAAACTGTTCCAGGAATTTCTGAGTGTTCCCACACTTGAGGACCTGAACCATGCTGAGTTTTTGTGTGGAGATCCCTGGGACAGCTCCATCACGTCCTGTGGTGTTCCCAGCACTGTCTGGATTTGCTGTGGAATCTGACACATCCTGGATTTTGCAGGATGATTTTTCCCAACAGGAAAAAATCCCCCAAAAAGGGAAATGCACATCCAGGAAAACCAGGAATTTAAACAGAGCCTGGTGTAAGGCTGGCAACTTGGCTCTGGGCTTGAGTGCTCCCTTCAGGATCAATAAATCCCTGAACATCCCAATTTTCAGGGTTCAACTGGAGCAGTTGCTCCAAAAAACCCAACTGCTGCTGCTCCTGGTGTTTCAGCCAATTATTGGGAATATTCCTGCATTGATGAGGGAGCACTTCCCTGCTCTGTGTCTGCTCCATTTCCAAAGTGTTTGCAGCTGTTTAGGATTCTACTTCTCTCCTTTTCCTTAGGATTCTGCTTTCCCTGTTTGGGATCCTCCTTTTCCCTGTTTAGGATTTTCCTTTTTCCCTGTTCAGGATTTTCCTTTTCCCTGTTTAGGATTCTCCTTTTCCCTGTTTAGGATTCTCCTTTTCCCTGTTTGGGATTCTCCTTTTCCTTGTTTAAGATTTTCCTTTCCCTGTTTGGGATACTCCTTTTCCCTGTTTGGGATTTTCCTTTTCCCTGTTTAGGATTCTCCTTCTCTCCTTTCCCTGGGATTTAAAATCTTCAGGGAAATTCCTGCCTTTCCTGCTTTCCCAAAGAGGAGTTGGGGAGGACTGCAAGGGCTCCTTGGAGCTCCCAGCTCACAGAAATTTGTGGGAATTTGGACTTTTTAATCATTCCCTGCCAAGAGCTGGAGATGAATTCCCTTTAATGCCACAAACAGGAGGAAATTCAGAGTGGGAATGTCCTGCCTTGCTTGGATACAGGAGCAGCAGAAACAACCTGGGAGCCTGGAATTTATTTACTATTTAATTACTATTTATTAAAAAAACTGCAGGAATATTAGGCCAGGATGGGATTTGTTAATAATCAAATGCCACAACTGGAAAATTTACATTCAAAATGCCCAGAGCCTCAATTTCTCAAATAAATTCTAGATATGCTACATATTTTGATAAAAATTCACTCTATATTTATAAATTCTCCCTCTATTTATAAATTCTCTATTTATAAATTTTCTCCATATTTATAAATGATACATATTTATAAATCTATCTATATTTAAAGTTCTATATTCTTATTTCTATAATATATTATATTATCTGCATTATTATATTTTCTGTATCTTCATACCCAGCTCTCATTTTCCTCCATCTCTATCCCAGTTACCTGCAGGTGCAGATATTTTTATTTCCCCTTGCATTTCTGTTTTCCCTTTTTTCCAAGTGTTTTCCCAAACAAAACACCTGGAGTGTGCACAGAACATATGGAATAGGTGTATAAATATATATGTGTGTGTAGAGTGAGGCATTGTGGCAGCTGGTACAGGAATGCAGCTGGATTTAATTTCATTTTTTTTAAATTTCATTGAATTCCAGCCAGGATTTCACAGATTTCTCCTGGCTTGTGCTTCATTTATTGTTCTGGGAAGCTCCTGGGATTTGAGGGATAAAAACTCCTTGTGTTAGTGAGTGCTCTTGGAGGGCTCCTCACCTCAAATCCCACCAAAAACCAATTTGTGCCTTTGCCAAGGAGGGCTCCTTGACCTGACAGGGAGCAAAGCTCCGAGGTGGGAACATCCCTGGAAAATGGGAACACCCCAGGCAACAGCAGCTGGGACTGGGACAGAGGATTTGTCCTCGTGCCCACCTCCTACCACAGATCCTCAGCCTTCTCCTGGTGGTTCCACAGGAAGGGAATCCCAGAAATTGCTGTGAGGTGGGCTTAAAAATTAAAAATTTCAAATTTAAAACCCAATTTCCTTGCAGGCCCTTGGGTGTTTGGGGAGGGAGAAGTGTCCAGCTGGCCTCAATCCACGAGCAAATCCATGTGTGGGGAGTTTGGGGTGGGTAGGTGGATATAAACCTGCTTCCAGTGGGGAACTGATCCCAAACTGCACCTGGAATTTCACTTTTCATGGATTTTTGTGCTCAGCTTGTCCTTTTTATTTGTCCAGATGAGCACGGAGCCCGTCGGTGTCATCGGGCTCTCCTGGGCAAGGCCGGGACATTGGGACGTGCCTTTGGGAATGTCACTCTTCCCTCTTGGCTCCCAAACTTTGACTGCTGCCTGGATGGTGGAAAAACAACCAGGAAAATGTGGAAAATGTCCCCAGGGCAGGGAGTGGAACCTGCATGAGCTTTATCATTCATTCCAGCCCAAACCATTCTGGGATTCTGTGGGAGTCTTCCACATTTTCCAGGTTTTCCAGGTATTGGGGTGGGAATCTTCACCATTCCCTAATTATCCAGGTATTGGGGTGGGAATCTTCCCCATTGCCTAATTATCCAGGTATTGGGGTGGGAATCTTCCCCATTCCCAAGTTGTTCAGCTATTAGAGTGGGAATCTTTCACATTGCCAAATTATCCAGGAGTTGGGGTGGGAATCTTCCACATTCCCAAGGTATTAGGGTGGGAATCTTCCACATTTCTTAATTATCCAGGTGTTAGGGCAGGGAATCTTCCTTGTTTTCCAGGCATTACAGTGGGAGTCTTCCACATTCCCCAATTACCCAAATATTACTGTGGGAATCTTCCATGTTTTCCAGGTGTTAAGGTGGGAATCTTCCTCATTCCCAAGTTATTCAGCTATTAGGGTGGGAATCTTCCATGTTTCCCATGTTTTCCATGTTTTCCAGGTGTTGAGGTGGGAATCTTCCCCATTCCCAAGTTTTCCAGGTGTTAGGGTGGGGATCTTCCCATTCCCAAGTTTCCAGCCCCAAGGAATTGCCAGCCTTTGGTGAGCTGAGATTTCAGTTTTACCACCCTTCTCCTCGAGGGTTTTTGGCAATCCAAGGAATTCTCCAGGGCTGTAGATGCAACACCAGTGGCTTCCAAGGTTGGTTTTCCATTTTGGGAACAGCTGCATCCCTTCCTGGTGTGGAATTCCTTAGGGATGTCCAGGGGGGTTCCTGTTATCACCCAAAGCCTTTTTATCCACATGGATTTTATGCTTTTATTCCAAAGGCAATCCTGGACTTGATTGTCTCCATACAGAAAGGGTGGATTGTGCTGCTCACATTCTTCCCAAGCATTGGCTTTTCCAGGAGTTCAGTGGGAATTTTGGTTTAAAATATTAAATGAAATGTTTACAACCAGTCCAACACCTGGAATCACAGGCTGTGACCTCGGCTCCAAGCCATGGAAAGAACCCCAAAATCCCAATCCTGTCTGATGGAATGCTCACCTGGAATTCTGCACAGTGCATTAATTGGGATGTGCTGTGTGACCATAAACCTGCCCCAGTGCTGGGAATTTTTTTTTTCTTCCCTCCTGGCTTCCTGTAGAACTTGGAATTTCATTTTTATATGGATGTTTATGAGTGCTGTGTCCTTTTTATCCATAAAAATAAATACAGAGCCTGTCAGGTTCATGGGAACAATGTTGGCACAGGAGAATTTGCACTTCAAGTAAAGGAGGAGAGAATTGTGCTTATTCCTGGATCAGGAAAAAAGAAGGATTTCCATGGAGCTGCTCTTGGCCTGAGCAGTTTGTGTCATGGAACGAGGCTGGGGGACAAATCCTTGGAAAAGAATGCAGGGAGAAGAGAAGATGTTCCTGTTCCTCCCTGGAGAACAACTCTCCCATTTGGGAAGCTTGAACCCAAGGACACTGTGAAGGAAGGGCTGTTTGTATTCCCAGTGTGTTCCCCACCCTGTCCATCCTCGATTTGCTTTTCCCAAAGAGCCAGGCAGGATTTAGGATCGGGATCAGCGCTCGCTGCAGCTCCGGCACAACGGATCCGTGACCTGATTTAAACTTGGGGGAGCTGCAGAACGTAAATATTTGATGGAACTCCAGCTTCCCTTGGTAAATCTGCTTCAGCTTTCCAGCTGAATCCTGCCAGGCTGCTCCTGAAATTCACCTGCTAGCGTGGAGATGTTTTGGAGTTCTCCTTTCTCTTGGAATTTGGGCGTTGTCTCAGCCTGGGGTTGGGTTTGTGCAAAATCCCCCAGTCTGAGCAAAGCTGGAATTCTGTTTGTGTCACAGTTCATACTGGGATCCATGCTGTCACTCACCCTGGGGCTGGGTGACACTCCAGTGCCTCCCCTGAGGCTGTGCATGAAGGTGGGTGAGGCTGGCAGCTTTTTAAATGGTTAAATATGGATTTTTTAGGCTTTCTGGAAAGAAAACTTCCATGTTTTTTGAGTCCTGGAAGGAGCTTTTTCCATGGGTTGAGTCAGTATTCCAGACCTGAATTTCTTGCCTGTTTTTATCCCTGTCAGAAGCAATAGTTGCTGTTGGTTTAAAAAGATTCCTGCAGAATTCAGGGACATTCCCACCTGGGCCGTGTTTGTTGGGATTTGTGGGCTGTGGGATGGTGGCACAACAGGTAAAGGAGGATTTATGGCAAATTCTCAATCCAAAAAGGTGGCACAATAGGGAAAAGGAGGATTTATGGCAAATTCTCAATCCAAAAGGTGGCACAACAGGGAAAAGGAGGATTTATGGCAAATTCTCAATCCAAAAAGGTGGCACAGCAGGGAAAAGGAGGATTTATGGCAAATTCTCAATCCAAAAAGGTGGCACAGCAGGGAAAAGGAGGATTTATGGCAAATTCTCAATCCAAAAAGGTGGCAGAGCAGGGAAAAGGAGGATTTATGGCAAATTCTCAATCCAAAAAGGTGGCACAAGAGGGAAAAGGAGGATTTATGGCAAATTCTCAATCCAAAAAGGTGGCACAGCAGGGAAAAGGAGGATTTATGGCAAATTCTCAAGCCAAAAAGGTGGCACAATATGTAAAAGGAGGATTTATGGCAAATTCTCAATCCGTACAGGTGGCACAGCAGGGAAAAGGAGGATTTATGGCAAATTCTCAATCCAAAAAGGTGGCACAGCAGGGAAAAGGAGGATTTATGGCAAATTCTCAAGCCAAAAAGGTGGCACAGCAGGGAAAAGGAGGATTTATGGCAAATTCTCAATCCAAAAAGGTGGCACAGCAGGGAAAAGGAGGATTTATGGCAAATTCTCAATCCAAAAGGTGGCACAACAGGGAAAAGGAGGATTTATGGCAAATTCTCAATCCAAAAAGGTGGCACAACAGGGAAAAGGAGGATTTATGGCAAATTCCAAACCAAAAAGGTGGCACAGCAGGGAAAAGGAGGGTTTATGGCAAATTCTCAATCCAAACAGGTGGCACAGCAGGGAAAAGGAGGATTTATGGCAAAATCTCAATCCAAAAAGGTGGCACAGCAGGGAAAAGGAGGACTTATGGCAAATTCTCAATCCAAAAAGGTGGCACAATAGGGAAAAGGAGGATTTATGGCAAATTCTCAATCCAAAAAGGTGGCACAATAGGGAAAAGGAGGATTTATGGCAAATTCTCAATCCAAAAAGGTGGGACAGCAGGGAAAAGGAGGATTTATGGCAAATTCTCAATCCAAAAAGGTGGCACAACAGGGAAAAGGAGGATTTATGGCAAATTCTCAATCCAAAAAGCAACTCCAAGGTTTGGAAGCAGCTTTTCCTGGTTGGAGCCACCCCTGTGGGCAGATCCCAAATGATTTCTCCAGGCCAGGAATGTAGGAATTCATTCCATCCCTGATCCATGTTTAGTTTGTGCCCACATCCAGGTTTTTGGGTTCCTCCTGTTGAGGAGTTTGGGATCCTGGATCCTGCAGCCACTCTCAGCCATCATTGGAAACTTTTTTTGGGGGGGGATGGATGTGCTTTGCTTGCACACAGGCTGGGGATGGTGCAGAATTCCATTAATGTGTTTTATTTTATCATTATTTATGGGATAAAAAAAAGAGTGTTTGGAGCTTCCAGCTGTCTTGAACTTGAGGTTGAAGTTGGCAGCTGGAAAACAAAATTTATCTTTTGATTAAAGTGTGGGGCACCTTCTGCTGGGACATTTTAAGGCTTGAAACCATTTCCAGATTTATTCTGAATAAAACTTTTAATTAAATTTTTTTTTTTAAATTGTTAAAAATAAATTTATATATTTTTCTTTCAAAATTTATTTTATTTATGTCACAGTTTAATTTGCAACTCAGAGTCAAAAAAACCCCTCTTAAATCCAGAAATGTGGACAAAGCCATGCTCTCTCCTCCTAAACCTCACCTGAGGTGTTTTTTAGGAGACCAGGGGCACCAAGAGGAGAATTAATTGCTGTACTGATGGAAAATTTCAATTATTACCTCCCTGGCTCACAAGTGTAGATTAATGTCATGATGTCAAGCTCATAGAAAATCTCTGTTGGGGAAAAAAAATAAATTATATATATAAATATATAAAATATATAGAAAAATACATTTTAAAATCAAATGCTGAGCTTAAATTTGTGTTCAAATTTGCCCTTCCAAACCCACTTCATCAGATGGGGGAGCTCCACTGAGCTCATGGATGGGAATTTTCAGGATGCAACCAAATCTTTGTGGTTGCACTGCAGAGTTTTCCTGAATTTCCTGACTCCAGGATTCCCTGGAATTTGAGGGAAAGGTCCCCAGGGTGGGAATGGTGCCTGCTTATTTTACAAGTTATTTATGGCTGGGATGGCTTTGTGTCCTTGTTCCATAAATTCCAGACTTCTCATGTAAAAAAATACATTGATCTGGCTTTTTTTTCCTGCTGATTTCCCTCTGTTTCTCCTTGCAGGATTCATGAATAAAATCTTCCATCCCAACATCGACGAAGCGTGAGTCAATCCTTCCTTCAGCTTTGTAGTAAATCCTCCAAAATTTCAGATCTTTTCCCGTGGTTTTTTGGTTGTGTGGAGCTTCCCTGGCGGTAAAATTCCAATTTCTTTTCTCTTGGGAAGATGGAATTGATTGAAGACCATAAATAAGAATAAATCAGGCCTTATACCAAACCCTGGGGAAGGGGTTGGGGAGGAGTTCTTTCAATTCCCAGGGTTAATTCCATTTTTTCCATGTGTTCCAGGTCAGGAACTGTATGTCTAGATGTAATCAATCAAACTTGGACAGCTCTCTACGGTGAGTTGGGCATTTTCCTCTCTACTGATGATGTCAGGCCACTTTTTTCCTTAGATTTTGGGGGTTTTTACTGAATTTGAAACTCTTCCTTGAGCCGAGATCTCGAGAAAAATCAGATTTTTTTACAGGTTAGGGGGTGGTGTTGCCTCTGATGCTGCAGAGAGGTTTCCATGGGCTCATTTCTGGTTAAAAATCTAGTTTTTAAGAGATAAACAGGCCAATTAAAAAACCAAATCAATTTAAAATGGAGCTTAGAGAAAGCTGGAATTGTTAGAAGGAGCACAGCTGAGTCTCTGTTTAAAAATGGGAATTTCAGATATTCCAGGTATGCTTTGTGGGGAATGTGGGCATCAAATCCTTCAGGTTCTTCCCTGGAAAACTGATTTTAGCTGGAATTCCTCGTTGGAATTCTGGAATTGCCAGTGTGGTGGAGGGATGAGGATCACAGCATGGATTTGTGGTGGGAGATCAGCTTCTCCACAAAAAGGATAAAATGAAATAATTGCAGTGGTTTTGTGCTCCAGCATTCCAGGTCCTGCTTGGAGCTGCGGGGGGGCACTGGCAAGGCTGAATTCCCTCTAAAATCACCAATCCAAGATTCCAACACCACCTCACAAAGAAATGGAAAAGGGGGGATAATTCCTTTCCTTTTTGGAATCTTTCAATTCCTTTAAAGCAGAGCTGGCAAAAGATGTGGGTGAGATAATTCCAGCAGCAACCAAGGTGGGAGAAACCTGGAATATCCACCAAAAAATTCCTGAGCACCTCCTGGTTCGATTCCTGCTCATTCCCTGGGGAAGCAGCAGCTCCTCAGTGCTGGGGGTGAAATTCCTGCACAAGTTCCTGCTGAACCAGCTGGAAAACAAAATTTACCTTTTGGTTCAAGCGTGGGGCACCTTCTGCTGGGAGGTTGTAGGGCTTGAAACCACATTTTGGGGGTTTGAGAGAAGGTTCCTTCAAGAAAAAATCGTTTTCCTGGGTGTTCTGTGAGCCATGGGGAATTCCAGGGCTCTGCTCCCTCATCCTCAGGATCCCTCAGTGGCCACAAAGAGCCAGGTGGAGACACCCGGCCCAAATTTTACAAATTAAAACCAACTCCTTGCTGCCAGTGCCCGAATCCAGTCCCTGGGAATTGCAGCTGCCAATTCCCTGTGCCATGGCAGGGAATGTCCACACAGAGCACTCCTGCTGCTTCCTGGGATCCCTTTTTGGGAGCCACATCCTGGCTCCAGGTGCTGCTGTGCTCCATCCCAGGTGTCAAAGCTGGGCACCACATCCACAGCTGGAGCCTGGAATTCTGTGGCTGCATCCCAGGGCTGGAGGAGCTCTTTGCACAGGGAGAGCACCTGGAGATCTCCTTCCCCTTTTTTTGGGGGATTTTTTTGGGAAGTGGAGGGCTGTGGGAATTGAACTCAGGAATGGGATCCAGCTTTTTTCCAGGAGCAGGGACAGGTTGAAGTGGCCACACTGCTCCTGTGGTGGGTCCTGGGCAGGGATGGCATTCCCTGATTCTGATCCAGGCAGCAGGACACTGATTTCTGGAACATTCCCACAGGAATCCCCCACACCAGGAGGATTGATGGCACAGGGCTGGTTCCTGACCATCCCTGCCTCTGGAATGGGGAGTTGGTGCTTCCCAAGAGGGGTTTGTGTGTCCCCAGTCACTCCTGGGCACTTTCCTGCTGGGGATTATTGGTGACAGATTCCTGCTGGCACCGAGGTGTTCCTGGGAGCTCTGCACACCCCCTGAGTTGTTGAATTTTTTAGTGGAGGTTTCTGTTAACCAGATCAGGGAAAGCTCTGGAAGAGCTTTGTGCTTTCCACGGAATCATGGAGTGCTTGGGGTTGGAAGGACCTCAGGGGCTGAGCTCCAACCCTGCTCCATGGGCAGAGAACTTCCATTAAAATAGGGACTGGGAGAGGTGAAGAATCCATGGGCAGAGAACTTCCATTAAAATAGGGATTGGGAGAGGTGAAGAACCCATGGGCAGAGAACTTCCATTGAAATAGGGATTGGGAGAGGTGAAGAATCCATGGGCAGAGAACTTCCATTGAAATAGGGATTGGGAGAGGTGAAGAATTCAGGGAAGGGCAAAGCACAGCACTGTTTGTTCAGAGTTTTTCCTAATTTTTCAAGCCAGGATTAAAAATCAGGAAAATTCCATCCCCTTCCTTGCTTAACCCATGGATATCAGCATGTCTGTGTAGGGATGAGGAGTCTGTGAGGAGCTCTATTTTTATTTTTGATTTTCCTCCCTTTATTCCCCCTCATTTTCAGTGTTTTTCCCTTGGAGTTTGTGCAGCTGTCTGGGTGTTCCAGGACGGTTTTTTGGGATGGTTCTGCCTCTGGGGACACGAACACCAACGCTGTGTTTGCCTTGCAGATCTCACCAATATATTTGAGTCGTTCCTGCCCCAGCTGCTGGCTTATCCCAATCCCATAGATCCCCTAAACGGGGACGCTGCAGCCATGTACCTCCACCGACCAGAAGAGTACAAACAGAAAATTAAAGGTGAGGCCTAATTAACACCATTCATTGGGATTCCACCCCGAGGGAATGATGGCTCTTTGCTGCAGGTTTTGCCTGGTTTTTCCCCTTGCAGTTTCCAGTGAAGGAAGGGAGGGGTGAGGTGCTGCCGGGTTGGGAAGTTGGGAAAGCTCAGGTAATCCCAAAAGCTGGGATCAGCTCTTGCCACATCACCCAGGAGTGGTTAAACCTGGAGTCACTGTTCTGGTGGGAAATGCCTGATTTTTGAGGGTAAAACTCTCAAAATTTGATTTTAGTTCTGAATTATTCAGCCTCCCTTGGCCGATTCCTCTGACAGGATTGTGGGGACTCCCCTGCAGATCTGTCCTGATCAGTGTCCCAAAGTCCATTCCTTGCTTTTTCATACCAGGGAAAGGCAAAAAAATTCATACCTTGCAGGCAAAAAAAGCTTTGTCAGATAAAATCTGCAGTGCCAGCACTGAGAGTCCTCCTGCCTTTCACGAAAACAGCCTAAAACCCAAAAACACCCTGGGAAAAAAGCCAGAAAAACTGATGGCAGCCAAAGGAAGCTCTGAGGACATCCCTTGCTCCCTCATTTCCCCCTTGCAGCCAGGTACAGATGATCTGGAGGGAGCTGGAAGTGCTGGGAACGTGTTCCATAAATCCCAGAGCCCGATTCCACCGGCTCCTAGCAGGATTGCGTGACAAGGACGGCATGGAGCTAAAAAACTCTGCCACCCCCTGTTCTAAAAAATAACCCTGGACGTGTTAAAAGTGCTGCAGAGGATCCTGGCAGCTCCTGTGCTCTGGGAAACTCGGCAGTGCAAATGCAATATTTTATTTATTGCTGCTGCTCCTGGTGTTTCCATCCTTGCAGGGAATGTTCGTGGTGCTTTGGGGAGGGGGCACAGGCACGAAGATGTGCCCCAAAATTTGTAATCCCTCCTCTTCCCTGCTTCCTCTCTGGGAGATTTCTTAGGGAATTTTCCTTTGGGAAGGTGAGGAACAGCTGGAGGATCTCCAGGCTGGGTTTCTGCTGGGAGCTCAGGACATCTCTGGGTCACTTTTCCCACCCCAGGGGTCTGGAATTGCAGAAGGATCCCCTGGAACACCAGGGCTGTGACCACAGCTTGTTCCTGCTGCTCCAGGCTCTGGGACAGATGAATCCAGTGGTGTTTCCTGGCAGGAATTGGTTCCCCTTCCCATTCTGTGGGAATGCTTTGTCACTATTTAGATATTTTGGAGTTTTTTTCCCCTTGATGAACTGAAAATCCCAATGCAAATCCCAATCAATACGACACTCAGCATGGAAACTCCTAGAAATTTCACTTTTCCTGGGTTAAACCTTCCAAAAGACCCAGCCCAGGAGCTTTCCTGGATAAAAAAAGTGGCATTTGAAGCTTGAAGGGCTTTGAGTTTTATCTCAGGCTTGAGGAGGCAGCAGCTTCCACGTGGGAATGTCCCCTGGAGCAGCCAGTGAGGAGCTGCTGGTGGCCTCCTGTCCTGCCTGCTGTGGCTGCAAGCTCCCACAGCTGCTGCCAGCCAGAGCTCAGGTGGATTTGGAACAATCCCAGAGGGAATTTTGGAGGTTCCCACAAAGGGGGAATGTGCAAGGAGCAACACGAGGAACATTCCCAAGGAATAACAGCTTCCTTGGGATTTTCCCGCTTTTCCAGAGGGGAGATGAGTTCTTGGAAAGCTCTGGGAAGGGAGCAGCCACCTCAAGGGTGTGTCACAGAATCTTGGAATGCTTTGGGTTGGAAGGGACCTTAGAGACCATCCAAATTCCCATCCCTGTGTGGGAATCCTCCACTGTCCCAGGGTGCTCCAAGCCCTGTGCTGGAACATTCCTGAGGATGAGGCAGCCACAGCTTCTCTGGGCAATTGGATCATTTATAATTTATATACTTATATGATTTATCAGTATGAATTTTTGTGATCATGTATGGTCATTTATGCTATTTCATTATAATCTTCATTAATTTTATTCACAATTATATTTTAATATTTTCTATGAATTCATTACATTATTATATTTTGATATTTATATTAACATTTTATTCTTAATATATGAGGGAGCAGTTATCAATCCTCTAACAAATCATTTACCTGATTTATCAAACATACCATGACCCAGCCTCCCACAGCTGTCAATTACCTATCCCTAATTATACCTTTTTTTTTTTTGTGTTTTTTTACCTCCCACAGCTGTCGATTACCTATCCCTAATTATCCCTTTTTTTTTTTTTTTTTTTTGTGTTTTTTTTTCCTCTCCCTTCCAGAATACATCCAGAAATATGCAACAGAAGAAGCACTAAAAGAACAGGAAGAGGGCACCGGGGACAGCTCATCTGAGAGCTCCATGTCTGACTTCTCTGAAGATGAGGCTCAGGACATGGAGTTGTAGTAGAGGAGGCCACCTGCTTTTCAGAGAGACTCTAATTTCCTAACCATGAGAAGCAGACTATAATATTCATATTTAAACAAAGCAATTTTTTTTATTACTAAACAAGGTTTTTATGAATTCTAGCATTGAGATATATATATATATATTTATATATATGTATATTTATATATAAATATATATATATCTGTCACCCTTTAGGTCTTGATTTTCTCGGTCGTTTCCCGATCCCCGAGGTGCATTAGAGCATTCCCAACATTCCATTCTGGTAGCAATATGCAGCCCGGATGCATGCCTTGAGATTTTCCATTTGGCCAAGTCAGCTTTGGTGTGCTACCAAACAGCTGCCCTGGGAGGGAGGGAATTAGCAAAAAAAAAAAACCACCCCAAAAATCCAAACAAAAGGGAGAGGAAAAAAAAAAAAAAAAGAGGGATTTGCTGTCGGATCGAGGTTTCCACCTGAGATGTTGGCGTTTCCTCCAAGTCTAAAACCTTGGGGCTGTAGGGATGGAAGGGGCTCCTCCAGCTTGTGTTTAGAAAATACAAAAGAGGGATTTAACTCCAAAAAAAAAAAAACAAAACCAAACCCCAATCCAAAGGCGTGGAGCCCCTGGGAGCACCGAAGGCGCCTCCCTGGCGATTCCAGCCCGCTGCTGTTGCCTGGACTCCTCGCTGCCTCCCGAACTGTAGGGACTGGCTGGCAGCCCTGGTGGGTTCCCTGGGACCTCTGCAGAAGCTGGGGATGCTGTTCCCTCGGGATGGATGAGGAGCTGTGGGAGAAGCACCCAGCAGCCCCGGGATGAGCTCCGGAGCTGGCACGGAGCCCGGAATCGACCTCTCCTGGAACCTGCTGCCCTTCCGTGGCTTCCAGTTGGCTTGGTTTATTTTTTTGGTTTTCTTCTTCCTTTCTTTTTTCTTCTTCCCCTCCTTCTTTTGCTGGAAATCTGGTTGAGACGCTCGCTGTGTCCTGGGAATTCTTCTCTGAGCAGATGGATCGGCCTTGCCAGAGCTTCAGCTCCACGGAATTGTCCCGTTGGCCCAAGCCCACGGATCCATCGGCGCCGACTCCGATTCTCCTTTTTTTTTTTTCTTTTTAAACCTTTCTTTCCTCCCCCTTCTGCACCAGCTTGGTTCCCATCTGCTTGTGTGTGTACAACAGGATCAGAATTCCTTAAGAGTTAACAAAGAAAATGATCTAGGGAAAAAAAAAAGAAAAACAAAACAAAAAACACCACAAAATTTGAGCTGAATAAAAAACAAAAAAAAGCCTAAAAAGCACCAATTGAAGAAGCAAATGGATTCACTCTTTGGTTTTTTGTTGGTTGGTTTGGGTTTTTTTGGTTTTTTGGGGTTTTTTTGGTTTTTTTTTTTTTCCAGGATGTTTGGGAATTGGAATGTTGGATTTCTCCTGGTGTCTTGCAGCAAGCTGAGAGATTTTTTCTTTTCTTTTTTTTTTTTTTTTGCTGTTGTTCCTAGAAATCTGATAAGTAAATGTCTCCTTGGGATACTTGAATTGGGATAATTGTGCATCAATTCAAACTGAGATGGATTTTGAAAGCTGAATGTTACCTGCTGTTTTCTTTTGGGGATTTTTTTTGGAGGGGTTTGGACGAGATCTGTTCGTTTGTGATGCGACCTGCAGGAAAAAAAAACCAACCCACCCTGAGCGACTCTGGAGCAGAGTTTTGAATGTCAGACTGGTACATTTGTCATTTTCCCAGAATTATTGGGCTTTGTTTCCTTTTCCTTTCGAGACTCCACCGAGCTGGGGCTGGGAGATCCCAACCCCAGTCTCTGATTCATAAAGCACAATCAGTTTCTTTTATTTCTGTTGCTTTTGGGGGAGAAAACAAAAACTCCATCAAGTCCCACTTGGCTTTGGCATGAATTTCCTTAATAAAAAACCTACCATGAATTTCCTTTCTGTTAATTCCGGGCACGAAGCAAAGGTTTTCCCTCTCCTTCTTCCCCTCCTTTTCCAGCAGTGGTGTAGGGCTGTGGCTAGTACTGTGCTGAAGTTCTCTATCTAGCATTTGTGGCTTGTTGGAGGGTAATATTAATTATTTAACATGTAATGATGTAATTAACTCTTATCTAGCACGTTGTTTGCTCATTAATTTGGGGAGGGAGGGGCCACGTTTAACTCGCTTTCCTGCTGCCCTGGCAGTTTTGCTTGTGCTATAAACCTTTACTTGTAGGTGCTACTTAGGAGTAGAGTCAAGTGCTGGGTGGTGATTTCAGTTTAAAAAGCTTCAAAAAACGTGAAAAAAACAAAAAACAGAACAAAAACAAAAAAAAAAAGGCAACCAAAAAAAAAAAAGAAATCACAATAAAAATTTGTATTTTTTCAATATTGTATAAAAATAGTGTTCTAATTCCCTCACCCCCCCCCCCTTCCCTTGCAGGATTTTTCATCCCCATCATTCCCCTCACCTGGATTTAGGGCATCCAATTGCTGGATGTGAAACACTAAGCTGGGATTCCCAAAAAAAAAAAAAAAAAAACCCCAAAAAATGGGAAAACACCGCTGGCTGTGGGAGCATTTGAGCTGAATAAAAAACAAAAAAAAGCCTAAAAAGCACCAATTGAAGAAGCAAATGGATTCACTCTTTGGTTTTTTGTTGGTTGGTTTGGGTTTTTTTGGTTTTTTGGGGTTTTTTTGGTTTTTTTTTTTTTCCAGGATGTTTGGGAATTGGAATGTTGGATTTCTCCTGGTGTCTTGCAGCAAGCTGAGAGATTTTTTTCTTTTCTTTTTTTTTTTTTTTTGCTGTTGTTCCTAGAAATCTGATAAGTAAATGTCTCCTTGGGATACTTGAATTGGGATAATTGTGCATCAATTCAAACTGAGATGGATTTTGAAAGCTGAATGTTACCTGCTGTTTTCTTTTGGGGATTTTTTTTGGAGGGGTTTGGACGAGATCTGTTCGTTTGTGATGCGACCTGCAGGAAAAAAAAACCAACCCACCCTGAGCGACTCTGGAGCAGAGTTTTGAATGTCAGACTGGTACATTTGTCATTTTCCCAGAATTATTGGGCTTTGTTTCCTTTTCCTTTCGAGACTCCACCGAGCTGGGGCTGGGAGATCCCAACCCCAGTCTCTGATTCATAAAGCACAATCAGTTTCTTTTATTTCTGTTGCTTTTGGGGGAGAAAACAAAAACTCCATCAAGTCCCACTTGGCTTTGGCATGAATTTCCTTAATAAAAAACCTACCATGAATTTCCTTTCTGTTAATTCCGGGCACGAAGCAAAGGTTTTCCCTCTCCTTCTTCCCCTCCTTTTCCAGCAGTGGTGTAGGGCTGTGGCTAGTACTGTGCTGAAGTTCTCTATCTAGCATTTGTGGCTTGTTGGAGGGTAATATTAATTATTTAACATGTAATGATGTAATTAACTCTTATCTAGCACGTTGTTTGCTCATTAATTTGGGGAGGGAGGGGCCACGTTTAACTCGCTTTCCTGCTGCCCTGGCAGTTTTGCTTGTGCTATAAACCTTTACTTGTAGGTGCTACTTAGGAGTAGAGTCAAGTGCTGGGTGGTGATTTCAGTTTAAAAAGCTTAAAAAAACGGAAAAAAAAAAAAAAACAAAAAAAAAAAAAAAAAAAAAAGGCAACCAAAAAAAAAAAAGAAATCACAATAAAAATTTGTATTTTTTCAATATTGTATAAAAATAGTGTTCTAATTCCCTCACCCCCCACTTCCCTTGCAGGGTTTTTCATCCCCATCATTCCCCTCAGCTGGATTTAGGGCATCCAACTGCTGGATGGGAAACACTAAGCTGGGATTCCCAAAAAAAAAAAAAAAATAAACCCCAAAAATTGGGAGAGCACAGCTGGCTGTGTGAGACACAACGGGATGGATTCCTGGGGCCAAACCCGGCTGCCAAAACGCTGCTGGAGGGGTGGGCTCTGCTCCTGTCCCACCCTGCTTCCTCCCTCCTGCATTTCCCGCCTCTTTTCACCCAAAATCTCCCTTTTTCTCCCAAAAGAATCTTTCCCCCCCCACAAAAAACATATAAAACTTCACCTCATCTGGATGAAAGAGAGCTTTTTGTGATCATCTCCAGTTTTTTTTCCCATCTTCAGGGTGATTTTCTTCTCCCCCCCCCCCCCCCCCCCCCGCCCTCACTCCTGGTGTCACCTTGGGGACGCTGGGATGGGCTCCCCGCTGGGAAACTCTGCCACAGCCCCTGGAGCTGCTTTGGGAACAACCTTTGCCTCCTCCCGCTGTGCTTCCTCCTTTCCCTCGAGGTTTGCCGTGCCAGGAGAGGCTGGGTGGGCACAGCCCCGTCCCTGTGCCCGAGTTATCCCACCAGGGATGGTTTTGGTGGATGCCAGAGTGCTGGCACAGGGGCAGAGCAGTGCCACCAGCCTGTCATCCCTCAGCTGTGCCCCAGGGATGGGGCTCCCCTTCCCTCCTCCCTCTCCCTGGGATACATTTCACTGTTTTATTTTTCCTTCTTTTTTCCTTTTTCCCATTTTTTCCCCTCCACATCCTGCTGCCCCTCTGCAAGGGGCACGGTTCCCCCACTGTCCCGGGCTCCTGGCAGGTGAGAGCAGAACAGACCTCGGGGTGGTTTTGCCCTTTGGCTGAGTTGGCTTTTTTGTTATTTTTCCTTTTTCTCCTCTCTTTTGCTGGCGTTGTCACAGAGCGGCGCGGCTGCCTCTCCTCTGGGCATGACCTCTCCAATAGTTGTGTATAATTCAAGAACTGTAAACTCCTTTTTTTTTTAAATAAAATCTGTATATACCTTGAAATCTGCCTGCTGTTTGGGCTCGCAGGGAGGCTCTGCATCCCCCAGGGATCAGCTCCCAAACCAGCCCCGGGCACTTTTCCACCTAGGAATTGCCACCTGGACGTGAGGGTGGCGAGGCTGATGACCTCGGAGGTCTTCTCCGACCCCACCAATTCCTTTTCCAGCTCTTTTTTAGGCCATGTCCTTCCCGCAGCCACGGCCCCCAAGCTGTTTTTTAGGATTTTGGGGCTGGATGAAGGAGCACGAGGCATCCACTCCTCCCATTCCTTCCCCGAGGTCTCCCCGCAGCTGGAGAAGTTGTCCCAGGTGAGGCTGCCCGGGATCCCACGGGGGCTGCGTAATTAATGGTAATTAACAGCCGGTAATTAGGCAGAGCGGCTGTTTGCTGGATAATCGCTCCTCATTTTGCTCAGAGCCGGGGAAGGGTCGGGATGAGGTGAGCAGGGAATGGTGGGAGCAGCTCAGGGACCCCCGGGGATGTGGGTGGGCCAGGGGAGGTGACAGCGGCTGGCATGGTCTTGTCCCCTCTCACCCCGCTCTGATTCCTGCAGTGCCGCCCCAAAGCTGCTGGAGCAGAGCCCGACCTTCCTCTCCATCCTCCTCCTCCTCCTCCTCCTCGTCCCCAGTTCGGGGCTGTTTGTCACCAGCCTGACGGCTCTGTGCCACGCCAGTGCCACCTGCTGCCCCTGCCCGGGGTGCGACACTGCCCCCGGCCACTCCCGGAGTGCCACCAGGGCTCTGAGCAGGGCCGGCAAGGGGGGACAGTCCCGCGCCCCCCTCTCGGTGTCCCCTCGCGGTGTCCCCTCGCGGTGTCCCCTCCCCCGGGGGCTCCGAGGGCAGTGGGGGTGGCGCTGTCCCCTCCGCCCGGCAGGTGGCCCCCGTGCCCCGCCAGTGCCCTCCCAGTCCGCCCAGTCCGGGGCAGAGCTGGCCCCGGCTCTGGGGCCCTCCTGTCCCCCGGCTGTGTCCCCATGGCCGCTCTGTCCCCACTGTCCCCCGAGTGCCAAGTGCCACCCGCTGTCCCCCCTCGGGGCGTGGCTGTGGTCTGGGGGGTCAGCGTTAGTGTGACATGGGGGGACAGGGACACAGAGCTGGTGGCAGGTGCTGCTCCCGCTCCCGGAGGTGTCACCCTGCCCTGGGGACACCCAGAGGTGTCACCCTACCCTGCGGACACCCAGAGGTGTCACCCTGCCGGGTCTGTGACAGGGTCAAAGGGCAAAGCCTGGGGCTCCCTGGGATGCGGGTGGCACCTCAGGGGGCTCTGGGAGCCATCACTGTGGGGTGACATTCCCATGGAGCTCCAGGTGACATTCCCATGGGGCTCCGGGTGACATTCCCATGGGGCTCCGGCTGACATTCCCATGGGGCTCCGGGTGACATTCCCATAGGTCTCTGGGTGACATTCCCATGGGACTCTGGCTTTTACCACCGCAGGGCTTTGGGTGTTGTCCCCAAGGAGCTTTGGGTGCCGTTCCCATGGGACTTTTGGTGTCACTCCCACTGGGCTCTGGGTGCCACCCCAAAGGGGCTCTGGGGCCATTGCCATTGGCTGCCATCCCTGAGGGGTTTGGGTGCCATCCCTAAGGAGTTTTGGGTGCCAGCCCCTCAGGGCTACCCCCGGGGGTGTGGGTGGGCCAGGGGAGGTGACAGCGGCTGGCATGGCCTTGTCCCCTCTCACCCCGCTCTGATTCCTGCAGTGCCGCCCCAAAGCTGCTGGAGCAGAGCCCGACCTTCCTCTCCATCCTCCTCCTCGTCCCCAGCTCGGGGGTGTTTGTCACCAGCCTGGCGGCTCTGTGCCACGCCAGTGCCACCTGCTGCCCCTGCCCGGGGTGCGACGCTGTCCCCGGCCACTCCCGGAGTGCCACCAGGGCTCTGAGCAGGGCCGGCAAGGGGGGACAGTCCCGCGCCCCCCTCTCGGTGTCCCCTCGCGGTGTCCCCTCGCGGTGTCCCCTCCCCCGGGGGCTCCGAGGGCAGTGGGGGTGGCGCTGTCCCCTCCGCCCGGCAGGTGGCCCCCGTGCCCCGCCAGTGCCCTCCCAGTCCGCCCAGTCCGGGGCAGAGCTGGCCGCGGCTCTGGGGCCCTCCTGTCCCCCGGCAGTGTCCCCATGGCAGCTCTGTCCCCACTGTCCCCCGAGTGCCAAGTGCCACCCGCTGTCCCCCCTCGGGGCGTGGCTGTGGTCTGGGGGGTCAGCGTTAGTGTGACATGGGGGGACAGGGACACAGAGCTGGTGGCAGGTGCTGCTCCCGCTCCCGGAGGTGTCACCCTGCCCTGGGGACACCCAGAGGTGTCACCCTCCCCTGGGGACACCCAGAGGTGTCCCCCTGCCGGGTCTGTGACAGGGTCAAAGGGCAAAGCCTGGGGCTCCCTGGGATGCGGGTGGCACCTCAGGGGGCTCTGGGAGCCATCACTGTGGGGTGACATTCCCATGGGGCTCCGGGTGACATTCCCATGGGGCTCCGGCTGACATTCCCATGGGGCTCCGGCTGACATTCCCATGGGGCTCCGGGTGACATT